AGGGAATGAGCAGAGTGAGTTCAGAGTGGTAGCCCTGAAATTGGCTTAGCGCCCTTCAGTCTGGGGACGTGTACCTCGCTGACAGTCACCCTTGCATTCAATGCCAGGTCCTGGGGACACAGTGAGGGACACAGTCACACACTTCCTGTGCTCATAAAACCGTACAATGTAGCCATCTTAAATAAATGCTCACAGAGCTATGTAGTTACCAACTGTGTTATGTGCTATATATAAAAGGAAAAACAAAGGCCCTGTAAGAGCTGATGGCAGGGGAGCCAAGGTGATGGGAAGGGTCAGCAAACCTCCCTGAGGCAGTGACATTTCTTTGAGCCTGAAAGATGAGGGGATGTGTTGAGCACTTTTTATGTTCAACGTGCTATAACGAAATGCTAGTCAAGGCTTTAAAAATGTAGTGCTAAGTGGAATTTAGCCTCTAATGACTCTTTCAAGTTTTGCTGACCTCACCTGCAAAATTATTGAATTAATTATGTTTGTTTGTTTTTTCTTACAGGCAACTTTCAGCCGACGTCCCCCAAGAAGAAATTCCTAGAATTGAACCAAAACGTTTCCACTGGGTTTTGCCTGTAAGAGAAAAAAAATGTATCTGAGCACTTAGAAGCTTTTTAATAGCACTAACCAATGCCTTTTTAGATGTATTTTTGATGTATATATCTATTATTCAAAAAAATGATGTTTATTTTGAGTCTTAGGACTTAAAATTAGTCTTTTGTAATATCAAGCAGGACCTTAAAGTGAAGCTGAGCTTTGGATGCCAGGTGCAATCTACTGGAAATGTAGCACTTATCATACATATTTGTTTCCCCCCAGTTTTAATATGAATGGATCAGGAGTACCAAATAAATTTCCCAATTAAAGATTATTGTGACTTCACTGTATATAAACAGATTTTTATACTTTATTGAAAGAGGACATCTGTACATTCTTCCATCATCACTGTAAAGACAAATAAATGATTATATTCACAGACCGATTGGGGTTCTTTCTGTTAAAGAACACACACAATGAACAGCCTGTCCTTAGCATTCCCGGGTTCCATTCAGCTGTGCTTCCTGGGCCTTAGGTTCGACGTGGAGGTGATAGGAAGTAGTTTATACATTGGCAGTAGGCTTCTAGATAGGGTGAGAATCGTGTGTTCACCAGAATTTTTTTTTTTTTTAATATATCTTTATTGATTTCAGAGAGAGGAAGGGAGAGGTAGAGAGAGACGGAAACATCAATGATGAGTCATTGATCAGCTCGGCTGCCTCCTGCACAGCCCCTGCTAAGGATCGAGCCCACAACCCGGGCATGCTCCCTGACCAGGAATCGAACTGCTCTCTCCTGGATCCTAGATTGATGCTCAGCTGCTGAGCCACGCCCAGCCGGGCCACCAGAATTCTTAAATTGTCATCCAGCACGTGTACTTTTTCCCCCTTGCCTGTGACTCGTGCTTTTGTTAGTTCTTTAAAAATAAGTCATTTTCTTCCCTCGGGCAGGAAATTGGTACACAAGTACCTGTTGATGTTACTGGAAGCCCATGTCTTGTTTTTTCTAGATCATTTTGCATTTTTGAATGTCTACTAGCTTACTAAGTGAACAGGAGTAGGTCAGACTCTGCCGCAGGGAGAGGCAGCTTTCTAGGCAGAGTTGCTTAATGAACCAGATTGGAATACTCTGCTAGTCAATACCCGGCCTCCAAAGTATTAACGTTTTTTTCCCTGTTAAAACTTGTAAGTGTAACTTCATTACCACTTAAATTCTTTGATATCTAATTACTAAAACTAGCATAGTGTTATTAATGAATTTTACGAAGCAAAGCATAATTAAGTTAGTTTGATGCCAAGGAAAGGAGGCAGCGGTTATAAGCAAATTTAAGCACATTTGGAGAAATAGAGCAAAAATAATATCTTTTTATAGGATGGGTTTATGTACTCCTTAACTCTGGATTCTTTTAAAACTAGCCCCAGAAATGATGTGGTCAAGGATGTGACCGATTCCATGTGACTGTTACTTGTACATTTGATTACCAGCACCCTCAGTTCCCGAGGAAGGGAAAGGAGAAGCTAGTCAGAGTAATAAGTAACTGGCTAGGTTTGGGCTGCTGTCTCTTTGGACCTTACGCCAAATTACATAATAAGCTTTTCTTGGAATTCCTGATTTACGTTAAATTTTGATCTCTGGGCCGCAGGCCACGAAGGTCCTTGGAGCAGTCCTGCTGGTGGGTGAGCAGGGACACTTGCAGACTCTGGGAAGACTGCTGGCAGAGAGGGCTGCTCTGGGCCCACGCTGTCCCCATTGGGGTGGCCGTGTGAAGTTCATGCTGATTTCTTTTTAAGAGCTGGTATGACTAATTAGAATGATGCCTGGAGGCTTTTCCTAGCCTCTCCTAAGTCCATGATTCTTTATTTGCAGTCGGGCTTGGGGTGCCTTCATCTTGGTGATAATATGTTTTTCTTACAAAGCAGTCCTACCAAGATACATGTGCTTTTATGGACAGCCTTTTGTTAAAGCAAAACCATACTGTACACACATATAAACCTTTTATTTCATTCTTGTATACTTTGCTCAGGTAGAGAACAGGTATGAAAGCCATTGCATGGTGTCCAACCGGGGAGCATCTCACAAGTCCAGGTGTTCCCAGTAAGCCCACAGGATGACACGTCCCACATTAAATTCATTGTCTTATCCTCACAAACCTATCACCACCTTGCATCCCTAACTCGTGTAAAAGCAAGTCACCGGGCCCAGCTGCCAAGGCAGAGCCCAGGAGGGACCCCAGATGCCACTCCTCCCCTTGCCTCCAGCATCCCATCCACCCCGTCAGAACTGGTAGCCGCACTTCCCAGGTTGGCACCTCTTCCCCATGCCCAGAGCCACTGCCTTCACACTACCTGTCCCTCTGCACTTGCAGTGCGTTCCTTAAAAACATAATGTACATGTTTCTTACCTGTCCCCCTCCTTGCCCCTTCCCTCTCTGTCCCTCCTCCATAGTCATCAGAATGGTCCTCAGAGCAAATGTGACTATCATTTCCCTGCTCACAGTTCCTCGCTTGTTTGTATATATAGTTTAGAATGATTTTGCAGAGTGAGCTCTTTGAAATGAAAAGAACCTGTGTTTGAGCCCTGGTTTGCCACACGTGTGACTTGTCAGGTTACTTAATCTTGAGCATGTTCCGCGTCGGTGACATGGGAATAATAATCCTACCTCGTAGAGTCGTGAGGACTAAAGGAGATGCTGTTCATAGGTGTTTGGCACACTGCCTGGTGCATAGCAAGTGCTCCTGTTGGAGCACATCAGTGTGATCCCTGCAGGTGTCATTTTTATTACTTCTAAGAGGCATTTGCTGATAACCCTAAATCCTTTCAACCCTCCCAACCCCAAAATACTTATTTTCTGCCTCAGCACTCTGTTTATTTCCTTTGATGAAACCTTCTAAATCTGTATTTTATTTAATTGTTGACTTTCTATCTCTCTCTCTGCTAGAATGTAAGCTCCATGAGAGCAAGGGTTTGTCTGTCTTGGTCCCTGTTATGACCCCAGCGTGTAGCCTGGTGCCTGGCACCCAGTAAGCACTCAGTGAATGTTTGTTGAATAAATGGAAAAATGATCAGCAGGCTCTTCATGATCTAACCTCTGCCTACTTGCCTAGCTCCTTCTGCACTCTCCTCATTGCACCTTCGGCTCAAGAAAACTGCATAACCTGCTCCTTCCAAGTGCCCCTTGGGCCTCTGTGTCTTTGCACCTGTCATTCCCTTTGCCTGCCGTCTACGTGGCAAATTCCTGATCATTGGTCAAGTCTCAGCTCAGTGGCTACCTCCTCTGTGAAGCTCTCCCTGATTTCTCCAGGCAGATGATCTTTTCCCCTCTTCTGAGTTCCCGCTGCACTTTGTAAATACCTCCATGGAAGCACTTTACTGTATTGTACTGTACGGTTTTTTTGCATGTCTGTTTCTACTTTGAGACTGTAAGCACCGTGAAAGCAGAGATTGCATCCTTTCATCCTAATGTCCCCGGAGCCTAGCATAGTGCCTGGCACATTTGTCAATATTTGTTGATTGGATTTGTGAATGAACAAAGAGTCTTGCAGTTGGAAAAGTGTTGCAAGATGTGTGTACTATCAGGGAAAGGAACGTCCCTGGTGGCTTCCAGGGTAACTTTGTTCTGGAGAGGAGACCTAAAAAGCGTTATGTAATCTCTTTGGATATAACATTACTTGTTTGAATTTTAAAAGTAAGTTGAGTAATCTAGATCTTCATAATTGATTGCAAAAGATCAAAAAGCTTTGTGATCTCTCACATGCTACAAAGTCCAAAATAAATATTTGCACTATTAGTATTTCCATAGTGAATGCTATGCGAAAATGTACAGCAATAAATTTTGAAGCTTTAAAAGTGTTTGTGTAAGTCATCTTCAGTGACTTAATTCGGGGAAGACATCTCTGGCCTGGGTTTCCCAGACATAAGGGGATTCAGACTTGGGTGTAGGGCCCCAAAGCTTTTGGAGTTTATCCAATGACACTGCTTTGATCCACTACTGAGGCGACTGCTCAGTCGTTCTGTGGGCATTTCTAGTGAAAAAAGGCCTGAAGGGTTCTCCACGGAGTCAGGTGCAGGCCACGCCAGACCTTGGGAGGCCATAGCCTCCAGCCCCCCACCAGCGTGGCCTAGTTCACTCTCCCTTCATCCCTCACTTCTGGGATGCATATGTGTCGCTGAGACAATATACACTTGAATGGCCTCTGCCAAGTCCACAGGTGGGGCATGTACATGGGTCACTTACAACAGGATGAGCTGGGGATGGCCGAGGAATTGGGAACCGGAGCAGCGGGCTGTCAGTCTGGACCTCTCCAAGGGTCTGGGGTGGACTTCAATGCTTCGAGTGACACACCAGTTTCTCTAGAAGGGCACATGTAAGTCACTTTGTGAATTATTTGACTTTTGTTTTTATGGCAGGAGGGCAGAAGTGTTTATTTCCTCTCATTTACGCAGCATTTTGTAATTTACAGAACACCTTCACCTCCAATGTGGTGTTTGAGTTTTCATCTGTTCTAAGCCATGTAATAGGCTCATGGTATTACCCCCATTTAAGAGCTGTCTCAGAACCAGACAGGCCAAATGACTTACTCAAGCTATGGCAAAGAGAGAATTTGAATGGAGAGGTCTCTGCTTCTAGGACACCATGGAACCTTCCAAAGCTCTTCCCCCTGAGGCCTCACGCTGCCCCTCTGTGACAGAGAACAGCAGTTTGGTTTATCAAGGGCCGTGTGACCATGGCTCATAGAGGGCAGAGCAATTCTTGGTAGGAAACCTGGTTCTTTTATGTGAAAATAGTCAAAGCTTTTCCAGGGGACTCTTGTGCTGAGAAATCTTCACTAGGGTTATTTATCTTTTCTTAGAGGTGGGAATGGGTGCAGTTTCCCACTCACAAAACGTTGGGAGTTATTTTTATCTAGGGGGTTAGCATTTTTCTTTCTGTTGTAGTACTTGGAGCTTTCCCATTTCTCTCCATTTTCCTCTTTCCTGTTCCTTTGTTAACCATTCATGAGCGTGACGCTGTGAGAAGGCTGGCAGCAAGACAGCTGGCCCACAGACCCCGGGGAAGGGGCCTCATTCAAAGCGGGGTGCATGCACCTAGGGCATGTATAAAAGCATTCCTTGGGGGGGACATACCTGACCTTTTAATATTTGTTTTCATCTTATCCTCAGATTTTAATTTTTGAGTGTTATATTAAGCACGTAATACATTAGTAAGAGTAGTCTGTGCATATAATTTGTAAGTAAATATCCATAAATTTGGAACATGTGCTTCTGTTTTTGAAAGGGTTACTTAAGTAGTGTTGAGACCACTACTCCAGGGCAGGACTCCTCGTCGGAGGTTCACAGACCCCTGGAGTCAAGGAATCTGCCAACTTGTCACCATGGGCAAAGCTTTGTGACGGACGTGCCCTGCTCTTGGGGTGGCATCCGTGGCTTCCATAAAATTCTTA